AGAGATAAACCGAATATAAAGAAATCTCGACTTTATTCCTCTTTAAACTAATAAGAATTTTTATGTATACTGTTTCTTGATAGTCAACATTTTGCTAGCCATCAAAACTGTTACAGTTTTTTTTTTTTTTTTAATTTAAAAGGACAAAATGCACTTTGCCCCTAGAAATTTTACTTTTTCACTTTCCACCCTACAAATTAATAAAAGAGACTATCCTCCTTAAAATTATGTTCCATTTGCACTTTGCCCCAAATCACAATTTTCGGTGTATTTTTCGTCAGAATTGCCAATTACCCATCCACTTCAAGGGCACTTGAGTCATTTCATTATTCCCATCCAAATCCTACTATCCTTATCTTTTCTAATAGATGAAAAATACAACCCATTTCACTAATTTCAGAAAAATAAAATGTACGGTTATTTTTCTCCCGAAACGAATTGTGGTTATTGTGGTCTCAAAATTGTGAGAATCTTCAACTAACAGCTATTATGATGACCCGTCCCTGAAATGACTTAAATGCCCTTCAATTGGACGGATTCATGGCAATTCCGGTGAAAAATACACTGAAAACTTTAATTTGGGGGAACGTGCAATTGAAACAAAATTTTGAATGGGAAGAATCTCTTTTTTGAATTTGTAAGGAGGGAAGTGCAAAATTTAAAAATTCTAGGGGGCGAATTGCATTTTGTCCTAAAATCTATATCATATTTCTCATTGTCCATCATATAATTAACTTACCCGTAAAGGCTCTTTGCTTGAGGAGGTAGGCAATTGGCTCGAGGAAGAGGTCGACGGGTGATGAGAGATCGAACGGACTCTATCCGCTTGTGGCGAAGAATATTGTTCGATTCTTTGCCTGTTCATTAATATAAGCTCCTGGATTTGCATATTTTGCTCGATTATAAGTTTATCTTGCTCGTCAGCTCTTTGCTTCAACGCATCTATTTCATTCTTATAGGCTATGTTCGTATGACAAGTCTCGCCTCCCTTATGCAAATCACCGTATACAACGGACGCAGTTACACCACGACCAAACATTCTTACTCGACCCGGTTTATCTTGTCCAACTACTCGGGAAAAAATATCGTCCGGTCCAATATCTTTTGCACCGCTAGGAAGCTCACTAATTAAATCTTTCATCTTCCGCTGAAGATGAAAACGGATATAATTAGTATTTTACTTAACGTAATCTGAAATTTAAATAAGAGTGAAGAGTCGATAATTATCATACCAAACAATTTACTACACTAGGATTAGAAGACTCTCCATTTCGTGTATAACACTTAAGGAAAAGATCTGTTCTACTTGGTCCGTTTATAATTGGATTATCCCCCGTTTCATCTTCGTCAACCGATGCTTCTGACTCCTACAAAATTACTACATCATTAAAAAAATTAAAAAATTAAAAAATAAAAAAAAAATCGGTCTGATATAGGCATAAAACGAACCTTCATCCGTTCTCTAACTTGAGCAAAGCTTCGCTTCCCGGTAGTGTGATGCATACTTTTATTTGATCTGCTTACTTTATTCTTAGCACTTATCATCTGAATATTCAAAAATAAAATAAAACTATGATCAGTAAATTATGGAATATATTAATCTATTACTAACCCGAAACCCTAATTTTGATGTTGAATCGAAACTTTACAAAGTGAACTATTTACCTTCGATTTATCACTGCTCCAGTAAATCACTGCGTTCTTCCATTGATCAGGTAAGACCCTTTCGTCTTCAGTATCCGGTCGTTTGCGCATATTTTCTTCCAACGATAAGTCCGGATCGAAATAATTCGCTTTTACTCTATTTTTCCAGTTCCTCCAACTTTTCGCTAAATTCATCAATGTGTTATGTTCAAAACCAGGTGCGTCGTGGAACTTCGCCTACGTTGTAAAGGCAAAATATATATTTAGATAGTTTATTCAAATTAAACATTATAATTAAGGGTAAATTACAGCCGTCCCCATGAGGTAATGTCAAATTACGAAAAAAACATTCCTGTAAATATTACAACTACCCCTCAACTATGAATCTTATTACACATCCACCCTTATGGGGTTAAATTCAACAGAATCTTCTAGAGTACGTGGAATGTTCTATAGTTTGTGCTCGTTTTGTGCAAAAATGCAGTTTCTGATCTGATATTTTACAAGCCAAGAGACACATCTTATAATCGTCATGTTGCAAAATGTGGAGCTTGAATGGGTAAAATGGGTACAAACTGCAAAATATTCCACATAATCTAGAAGATTCCACTAAATTTAACACCACAATGGTGGACGTGTAAGAAGATTCATAGTTGAGAGGGGTGGTTGTAATTACCCAAACATGAGGGTTTTTTTTCTGTAATTTGACCTTACATCAGGGGTAGCCGTAATTTACCCTACAATTAAAGAAGGGTGCAGATGGCTTGATAGTACCTTAACCAGTTCGACTAGCTTGCTTTTTGTAGGCTTTGGCACTCGATGCCAATCTTTAATGTCAATAGGAAGTAACTTACCGTTTCTCACTAACGTGCCGACGAATTCAACGTATTCACTTTTATTTAACCCGATAGCTTGCCCATATTCATTGAACTGAACTTCTTTACGACCCTTCCTTGCCCAAACACGTGTCATGTAAGTAGGCCCTCTAGCCCTTTTTTGTCGGACATTTTCTACAAACAAAATAATTGTAAACGACAAAGTGTGATAGAAACGAGATAATCAAGAATCAAAATCCTGGCGTATATTAAATATTAATATGCTCGAAATTACCTGTTTGGTCAAGCACTGAATTATCGACATCATTTGAATTCGACTCTAATGGATGGCCCACATTCTCGTTTCTAATGTGTGCACTATGTCGAATGCTTTCCATCACTATATTTTGCAAGTTTATAAGAATAACTGGTACTGCACTTTCGAGATAAATTGCAACATATATTGAATGAATTTATAATGATAACAACATACTTGTGGTATCTTGTTGTTGTTGTAGATGTTGTTCATCGAGCAACCTAGTCGAACTTGACTCGTGATTTGTGCGCTTACGCCTAGTTCTTGCCATCACCCTGAAAATCGAAAGACGGAGATTTAATGTTGGTTCTTGTTTTATTTTTGCCCAGAAAATATATCTCTTACAACTAAATATAATCAATTTGCGAATAAGCTTTCAAAGTCTAATTAAAAAAAAATACTGCATATTTACGTCGATTACTTGCAGAATCTAGAAGTATAAATTCAAAAGTGTAATCTAATGTATGAAATTTTCACCAAACAAATCCTAGTGTAGTGTATTAACCAGGGTTACTCATAAATCACTAATAATGCACACCAAATCAAAACAAAAAACAAAATTAAACAATATATAAAACAAATATGTACACAGGGAAGAAAAATTAGAACCTGGGGGTGGCGTTATTAGAACCCTAGTGTTGTTGAATTGCTCTCCCAAAACCTAATTTTTTTACTATCTCTTTTAATCCGTGTTGTACAATTGACGGGGAAGAAAAAGAAGAGAGAGAAATGGATTGGTTGGATTGGATCTCTAAAATTTTGACTACGCGAGCCTACTTTATTTATTTAAATGTTGTTTTTGTAGGATAAATAAATATTTGCAATTAGCAATATACTCATTTCCCTTTAAAATAAGGGATTATTTTGTAGACCCCCTCATTTCCAAATTATATAGAACTAACTACCAAGTATATTACACTCTAGGGGAAACCCCCTCATTTCGAAAATATTTTGACATACCCTCATCGGCTACCCTGAAGTTCATATAATACCCTTCTAAAATCAGTTTTAAACCCTAGCCACTCACGGTCTCTCTCTTCTTCTCCCAGATTCAAAATCCCGCCTCCACAAACCTCCCACCGGCGAAATTGCTTCCCGGAGCCATAACTCTCTCTGCGGTGGTCGGAATTCGATGGTTTAACTACCGTTGGATTCCTCTCGTCGAGCTCCTTCTTTTGGTGGTGATTTCATTCAGTTTTGAGCGCTGATCTGTTTCTGCAATTTTTTTTCATTCGAGCACGGTGGTCTTGCCGGAGCTTTATTTTGTGTTCCACCCGTCGAAATTTGACGGGTCACCCACCGTTGGATTCCTCTCGTCGGGATCTATATTTTGATGGTAATTTCGTTTATTTTTATATTTTCAGATTTATTCCTATATTTTTTTGCATTTGTGGGCGCGCGGAACCGTGGGTGGTTATTAGCGACGTCTAGGGTTTTGGTAGGAGGCGAGGGGGTGAGGAGTCACTGTCTGTTTGATTTAAATTGTACCATTTCCCAGCAAGGACCGCTAGTCTGCACGCGCCTTCGGGGTCCCTTTT